CTCGGAGCCGGCGGACCCTTGAAAGGGGAGGTCGCGGCTCCCGAGAGCCCTTGGTGCGGCTCCCGACACAGTTCGGACGGTTCCCGCGACAGCTCAGCCAGCGGCTCCGGCGGTTCCTCGGTTCCGCTCCGCCAGTTTTAGTCCCAGGGCTCATACTATCACTCTAATGAGGGCGGGTGACTCTACCTTGACACACTACATACAGACACATGGTCTGTAGTTCTATGCCATTTCAATGAGGTGCTCGAGGCGCAGGTGCTCAATACAATGGCATTAGGGTCTCTCTCTGATGGTAGTCCATGCACCAGTCATTGGTCTCCATACTGATGGTTTGCCAGTCCCATGAATCATATTCTACCATAATGAGTGGTTCCATAAACTAGTTTGGTAGAAGAAGAAGCTTGAACTACAGGATCCAAAGAGCTACGGAATGCTAGGTTGAGGTGCCGCGCCCTCGCGGAGCCGCGGAGCCGGCGGCTCCGGAACCACTACTCCCGGCTTCGGTCCCCCGAAACAGATCAGAATCCGCAAATGCTGCGCCTTGCAAGTATGCCTTACGCTCCGATTTAAGCGTCAGGCTCGTGTTCTGGACCTTCAGAGCTTGAGAGACCAATGCCGTATTTAAGAGTCCTGCAGCAATTCCCCGAACATGCTGAATCTCTTCAGCCCTCATTTGCGCTTGCTGCATCAACTTGTTGAGCGATATAAGCGACTGGGCCTCCAGTTGTAGATCCTATAAGTCAAAGTCAATACATGTATGTCATGTAGCGTATGGACTGACGGATGAGCCCTCACGGGCACAGGTCTGAAGCCATTCGCCGAAACTAGTCTGTCCTGATCGGACCCCGATAAGAATCTGGTATATCGTGCTACGAAACTCGTACCGTCATGCTCCGCGATGCCTTCCAGGGCAGGTGGAGGGACAGCATTCATAGCTGGGGCGTCCCGACTGGCATACGCCATAGTATTGACACTAACCACTCGTGCTTGTGGCTGAGGTGCAGGGGGGGATACTGATGGTGCCACAGGTTGCGGGGGCTGGGTAACAGCTGCAGCATAAAACTTTAGATGACTGGTGGATAGAAAGATGAGGAGATGCAGACAAGGTCCATCCATTTCCATGTCGGACTCCTCTGAATCTGGGATCCTAATCACTTCACGAACAGGCGATCGACGTGTCGCACTAGTTCTTGATCGTTGAGAGCGAGTGCTTGCGCGATGCATGATGAATACTGTGGGTGTCCGGTTGCAAAAGCAGGATATAGACTTTCTGTTGCTGGTGTTGATAGCAGCCGTTATGCCTAGAGAAGGCAAGCTGATTCTCCTTTCGACGGCCGCGTGCATGACGCACGTGTATCAGGGCAGATCAATAGCATGGGTAATCGATGGATGACATCATGAGCAGCAAAATCAGACAAATGCACGTGGCCGCAACGTGTAGACATTAGAAGGGATTAGTCTGATATCAACCAGACATTGATGCAATAAACGACGCTCTTCAATGGTTAGTAGACGTTGAGGGCTATTAATGCCCCAGCATGGCCAGTTTCATGGCACCTGGGGACGAGGAAGCCGCCGCTATGTTGGGAGCCGCCGATGTCCTGGGAGCCGCCAATGTACAGCAGGCTCGACAGCTACCATCATCTTGTGGTAGAAAACCTTTGACTCGCAATACAAGAAGAGGGGATGAGGTACTTCTCTCACTGCAACATAAGACCAGCGGAGATCTAGACCTGAGCCAAGATAAGCAAAGAGGGAGCCGCCTGTATGTGGGGAGCCGCCAAGAGAGGGAGCCACAGATGTAGAGCTGGCTGTACAGCTCACTGTACAACGCCTATCATCTTGTGGTAGAACACCTTCGACTATTCAACCTTACACGAGGGGATGAGGTGCCTCTCTCACAGCAACATAAGACCAGCGAAGATCTAGACCTGAGCCGAGATCAGAAGGGAGGGAGCCGCCGGTATGTAGGGAGCCGCCGGTATGTAGGGAGCCGCCGGTATGTAGGGAGCCGCCAAGAGAGGGAGCCGCAGACGTGCAGCTGTCTGTACAGCTGTCTATACAGCTACTATCATCTTGTGGTAGAGGACCTTCGACTTGCCGTACGTATATGGGAGGTTGAGGTGCTTCTCGCACCAGAATAGAACACCAACGAAGATCTAGACCTGAGCAGAGATGAGCTGAGAGGGAGCCGCCGGGGGAGGGAGCCGCAGATGTGCAGCTGGCTGTACAGCTCACTGTACAGCTGATTGCACAGCTACAATTGTCATGTGGTAGCATACCACCCGCTGATACTGAATATTTTGCATGCTCACTCCTCATTTGTAATCCAAGCCATACATTTCTATCCATGCATCATGCAGACATACTGGTCTTATATTACACTCCACGGCGCTATGTGACCAGGGATTGCTGTGCAACAGTCTCTGCTGACTTCTTTATACGCAAAGAACACTGCAAGACAACCCGTTGTGTACCGCGTACGCTCATTACTACAGACATCGCGTATGATAGGTCCATGAGCCACCCCATGGATAGGTACCTGTCCATAGGCTATGTTACTAGGCCCGCGCCACTGCCACGCGACTTAGCCGGAAATCAAAGCACTTCTTCATTTAGCATTGCTTCATCAGATGGGCCGGCAGCCGCAGAGACGCAATCCCAATCGATCTCAATCGATAATCGATGGTGTGAGTGAGTCAGAGGGAGCCGCGTGGGCGGCTCCCGCCGGAGCCGCGGTCCGCGGCTCCGCGCACCAATCAGACGATAGCGTGCTGTTTGCACGAGTTTGGACTCATGCGACTTGGCGCACGACGCGCGTTCGTCTCCCTCTCTTCCCAACCACCACCATCGGTTACCCATCGCTGCTAAACTAGCACTCTGGCAACAAACTTGACTCAAAATATGACTCCCCCGCTCAACATCGACGACGAGATGGCCTTCTTCACCGGCCCTGGTCGCTGGAACGACATTATCTCACCTGCCTCTCTCGATAGCGAGCTCGCCGCGTTTGTCAACGCGCACCAGGACGACGAGGATCTCAATGAAGCACTCTTGAAGCGTGTCTCGAGCGCGCTGGACTGGTCTGCGGGTGTGTTGGGGCAGATGGAGGTCCCGGAGGAGGCTCTCAGGCTCTTCTGGAAGTTCCTCAAGGTCGAACTGGTGCGTTGAGCTGCGCTCTACAACCACGGCGCCTTGAACTCACCTTTTACTAGAAATATGCGGCCGAGGCCGAGCGTAACCACACGGAGTTCGGCGACTTCCTCACCCGTATCGTCGACCACTACACGCAATACGGCAAGCCGCAGACGTTCTTTATCCGCTCGGTCCTCTCTTGTGGTGGGCCGATGACATTCCCTCGCATGCATGACAGCGATCCCAACGCGACTGGAGGCGTTGTTCGCTGGTGGGTTGCCTTCGGTGCGTTGATCTGTGTCCCGGATCGGACATATCAGATGACCTGACATTTTCCAGCGGCGATGGTCAAGAACGGCGGCAAGAATCCGGAGCGCAAGGACATTGTCGACGTCTACCAGGCCGAAGCTGAAGCTACTCGCATTGGCCGTGAAGAGGTGGCACGACGCAAGAAGATTTACGACATGGAGAAGGAGCTGGAGGCGCTTCGTTCGGGCTCTCAGGCTCCTCCTGAGCAGCCTGCGGGTGCAGCTGGCGATGTCGAGGAGAGCGGGCCCGCGCGTGGACGCGGAGCCGCGCGTGGTAAGGGAGCCGCCGGCGCCGCCGGCGGGCCCGCGCCTGTTAAAGATCCTCGTGGTGCGGTTTTGAAGGTTGGAAGGAGCAAGGGGAAGGCCAAGGCGGCGCCGAGGGACGAGGACGAGTACCAGGAGCCTGAGGAGGCGGCTGCGAAGGATGCGGAAGACGAGCAGGACGCGGACGAGCATGTACGGGTGAAAGGCGGCAAGAAGACGGCTCCCGACGGCTCCAAGCTCGTTCGTACCAACGGCTGGCTCCTCCCTAACGACATCAGCGCTACGCCGCCCAGCGGCATCAACTTCAACCTCACGGAGGAGGAAATCCTCGCCAGCAAGCCTGCAAATGGGCCGCTCACGCCCGAGATGATCTTCAGCTTGCCTGAGATCCATGGGATTGAGGTCGCGATCAGTGTCGACGTACGTATTAACTTGTTACTGTGACATAAGCTCGGGCTAACATATCTGATAGCCTCCGTGCCCGCTCTGCCAGCAAACCGGCCAGCTATGCATCACCCGTGGCGGCAAGAGCTGCGTTGGCTGCACTGCGCGCAAGAAGGGCAACTGCAACATGCCTACCGATATCGAGCTGCCCGAGGACGTCACCAAGGCGCAGATCACGCCCAAGCGGACTGTGCGTCAGGCGAAGGTGGAGGCGCTGATGAAGACCGGGCACATCTCTGTGGAGCAGAGGTGGAGGTGGTGGACTGAAGACTGTAAGTTTCCAGTCTTACACCGCGGTTCATGAACTTACCATGTTTTGCAGACGGTGGCATCAGCAAGGAGACGCCCGCAGGCCGCGAACAGTCTGTTGTGCCTACGGCGGCCCCGGCTAAGGCTGCTACGAAGAAGCGCGCGGCTCCCCAGACGAAGGTGAAGGCCAAGCCCGTCGCGAAGGCTCCCGCCGCACGTCAGCGCTTCGCCGACACCGACTCCGACGCCGAGAACGTTGCTGCGCGCGCCACTGCTGGCTTCGTTGACAGGACGTCTAGCGAGGAGGACCACCAGATGCACGAGATTGACGCGGCTCCCGCGGCTCTGCCCTATGACGAGCCCATGCTCACGGACGATGCCACCGCCACTTCTGGGCCGTCGAAGCGTCGGCGCTCGTCCTCTGGACTGTCCGCGCCCACGGCCAAGCGCGCGAACACTAGGAGCCAGGATCGCGTGCAAACGACTGTCGCGGCTCCGGCGGCTCCGGCGGCTTCCCCGGCTCCTGCTGGACCTTCGCGGCCCCCGAATCCTCGCGCTGTCGCACCAGCTCAGCCCGGGGAGTTCAAGGTCCCATCGACGTTCCCACCCCGCCCGGCGCGCCCCAACGTCCCTCCGCCCGCTGCAACTGAGGGCCAGATTGCCCTTCTCAACTCGCGCATCAAGCAGCTCGAGGACAGCCACGACAGGCTCCTGCACGCCAACATCAGCCTGGAGCGTACCACCGCGCTTAACATGCAGAACATGATGCGGTACGTTCACGCGCTCGGCGTGCAGCCACGCGTCGACGCGAGCGTGCAGACCGATGGCCAGGACGAGGCTCAGCCGATGGAGATCGACGATGCTCCCACCTTCGATCTTCCCCCGCCATTGGACGACCCGGCCCCCTTCCCCATCCCAGACGCACCCCAGGCGTCTGCGACAGTCTCAGCAGCACCTGCTCCGCAGGTCTCAACGTCGCGTGGCGCCTCGGCGGCTCCTGAGCAGCGGGCGGCTCCGGACTCAACGGCGGCTCCCCCGCGTTTGGCGGCTCCGGCAAACTCTGCACGTTCAAGCTCGCAGCCTCCTACGACCGCCGCAACCACGACGCTCGAGCCGTCGCGCCAGGAGGCTATCGGAGACCAGCAGGCGCAGCTGAAGATGCCGCCTGCTCAGGCAAGTCGCAAGACGACGCCTCAGCCGAGTGTCGCACCCTCGCGAGCAGGCTCGCGCGCCCCCTCCGCTGCTCCCAGCACCGCCCCTGCACCGTCACAACCGGCTCCTTCTACCCGGGCACCCTCCGCCGCCCCTTTGCCAGTCGCTGAGCCGCAATTGGGCTCCCAGCTGCCGCCCTCGCGCCCGACCTCAACGTCACTTCAGCAGGTCGTCGAGGAGCCGCCGGCGGCTCCCGCGGGCGCCGCTGCGGCTCCGCCCATCCCGACTTCGACTGCGAGCACGCCTGTCTCGGCTGCGTCGTCTTACGCGCCGATGAAGCTGTTCCAGGGCTCGAAGATAGGATGGGGGAGTGCGTTCAAGCAGACGCCCCCGTCAGAGCTGGAGCGGACTCGCAGCACAGGCCGCGACGTACCCGCGCAGGCTGCGAGTCAGCTGGCAGGCGCAGAGCCTATGCGCCGTGTACCCTCCACTCCCGAACGTGGGCAAGGGGAGCATTTGGCTCTGCGTCTGCCCATGACGCCCACGGAGGCCGGTATCTTTCTGCAGATGCCGGCTGGTGCCCAGGGTCCGAGCGAGGAGGCGGCTCCTTCCACTGGCGCAGCTACCGTTCCCCAGCGTGGCAGGGGAATTCAGATTCCCTCCTCGGATGAGGATGGCGAAGGATCTCCCACGCCAGCCGCCCGTCGCAAGAAGACCACGACTGTCATCCCGGACAGTGACGAAGAGATGCAGCCGCCCGAGCCCTTGCCCAAGCGCAAGGTCGCCGTCGTGCTCAAGAAGACCGTTATCCCCGATTCGGATGAAGAGTCCGACGCGCCACCACAGGACGAAGGGTCTGGTAACGACGAGCAGGACCAGCTGGAGGCTGTTGCTGAGGAGGGGTCGGGCTCTGAGCGGGCGTCTGGCGAGGGCGAGGGCGAGGGCGGATCAGACGGCGCGGGCGAGGACACGCACGCTGAGGAGCAGCAGCCCCAGCAGCTGTCCGAGAAGGCGCAAGGCAAACAGCCTCTCCGGCGCTCGGCGCGGGCCCGCGGAGCCGCGAGCGATGCTGGCGGCTCCGCGGCGGCTCCGCCAGCGGCTCCAGAGCCCGCGGCTCCTGTTACTCGCACGCGCTCCAAGGGCACGCGTGGGGCAAAGAAGTAGGTGCCTTGGCCGTTGCCTCATGGACTGATGCATGGTGTGAACGCTCGCCCCCCCCGCCCTCGTTTTTTTTTCTTGCTGTATCTTGTATATCGGACTCGATGGACTTCATTTGACTGTACTCCCTCTGCGAAGCATCTCCTCACTCCCCCCCCGCATATATTAGTTTCTTAACCCGCATATCTTGTATTCTGTAGTATGTCACCCCCGCTTCGCAATGCATCATCTTTTGATTCCCTAACTCACGAGTGATCATAACTTGAAAAGAAGAATGGTTTCAATAATACTGATCAGAACTGTAGTCTCAATCTAGGGTGAATAACATCCTTATAACATTGGTTGAACCGCTCCTTCCCATACGCCGCAATGTCCAGCCAGTGGCTAGAGTTCTCGTTGGCCATGAAGACGTGTGCTCGGCTCCCTCTCATTCTATCTCCGCGTCTCCTCCACCCTTCGGCTAGACTCTTGTAACCCAAATAGCACATCTGCATCTCCAAGCGCAAGATGATGAGCTCCTCACGGCACCGGGTGAGTGAGCACTTCGCATTTATCCACCGAATTCGGAAGACTATGGTGCTGATCAGTCTGGGGACGGCGTTGAAGGTGCCAAGTACTTACAGTTAGCTACAAACTCCTCATCCTTCCTTTGTGCCTCTTCAACAGTTTCCCTCGCAGTCATGGAGACCATCCGCCAGAACCATGGCAAGGTAAACTGCGACGATGTTCCTGTCGTACTGTACGTCGCAGTCGAGCACTTCAGGTGATCGGGCGTCAGGTATTGATAGTTTGCGAGGAGGGTCTTAAAGCGTGCGTCCGTCTCGGCAGTGGTGTCCCATTTCAGCATGGCTAGCTTCTCGCGACATATGTTGTAGATCTGGGCGTTCAAACGAACAGCTTTCCCCTGGTCTTGCGCATCCTTGTATGCTACGTTTTGCTGGTGGTAGCCGTGGTTGGCGTTTCCGTTGCGGGAGCGAATGCGATGAAGATACGTGTTAGCTTGGTCGACCATGCGAGTTCGAATCTGACCCAGAGTCTCGTTCATCCGGGCGATGAGGACATCCACCTCTATGGCCATCGCACGTCGTCTAAGCATTATCTCTTCTCCAGTCGCCTCCGTCAAGCATGCGCTGCGCCAGGCCTCACCACGAGATGAAGGCAAATCGACAGGCCGAAACTCGGCTCCTGTGCGCAGGGCGCGGCTCCCGCGGCTCCCTGGACCCGCCCGCGGCTCCAGGGCGGCTCCCCACTCATCTTCATCCATCAGCTTTCGCAAGCGGATGACTTTCAGCTCGCTCTCGACAGGTTCGGAATCCAACGCAATTGACATAGCGGCTCGCGACTTGTTTACGCGGTTGTGTATCTTGGTGCGAGTCGAAGCTATAGTCCTCATCTCTGCCGGTGACGATGCCTGTTTATCTAGTGCTTGAAGTTTCAATCTTGTGTTCAGTGGATATACGTTAGCCCATTGCCAGAGACATAGGAGTAGCCACGTACTGATCCACTTGAAGAGCGACGGCATCAATAATAGCTTTTGCTAAGCCCTTTCCTTCCGGCTTTTTGGCTTCCTCCTCGAGCAAGTGTAGCTCGGCGTCCTTGCGGGAGGGCACTGCACCGACATGGAAGTCAGAATCATATTTGCCCACAAGTCAACCTTCACCATACCCTGATGCTGGTCAGTTTTGAAAAAGCGGTCGGCTGCAGTGGGATCGGTGATCCTGTCGCGCTCGAAGATTCGTCTTTCGTTCTCCCACTCCTGGACATTATCCTTTGTCGTACATTCGGATAACTTCTCGACCAGCTTGGCACGCTCCTGCTCCTCGGCGTAGTACTTCTCGAACTTCCGCACGAGTGTGTCAACTACAATGCATCAGTATCTAGATCATGAGCCATATGTGATCTTCATACCCATCGCCAAGTTCTTCTTATGATTGCTATCAGATTCGAACATGCTGATAACCTCCTCGCGATTGGCAAGGGACATTCCCCGGCAAGACTCAAGAATCTGGTTCAGAATGCTCCATAGTGTCTCGAGGATCTCTCCGTCAACAATACCTGTGCGCCGAGCATACAGGTTAGACCAGCGCCCATAGCATTCCAACACATGCCCGTAGATGTGCCAGACTCCGACACTGCCCATGACTTCTTTGAACTCTGGCCACGTTAGATTCGGGGAGCGATTAAACCGCTCCTGTAGATGAATGCCGTAGCGGCACCAGATGTCATACAGCAGTTGTATCCGCTCGAGCAAGGTGAGGTCGGTGTTGAGTTTAAAAGTGTTGTTCAAGGCCACATCGGCGGGTCCGGACCTATGGGAGCCGCCATCAGCCTGGAGCCGCCGGTCCCGGAGCCGCAGCGGGTCTACTCACGCTTCACCGAGTTCGTAATTGCAAGTCCCGCCTGCGCAGAACTCGCCGTGTCTAGCACACGCCCACGCCCCAATACCCTTTATGTCGGTTACCTTGTCGCGAGACTTGCCTGTGATTTGAGCCGCGACGTGTTTGTGACAGGGCAGGTCCTTTGCGAACTGGGACTAGGTAAGTCTCAGCGTAAGTTTATATATGAGATACAAACCAAGTGCTCGGCTTCCTTCCGAATCTGCTGGTCGGTCTTGACAGATGCTAGGTCACGCTTTGCCTCGTCCGGATGTTGGAAGGCTCCTGTGCCAGGAAAGATTGGCACGTTGTTGCCAGGTTGTCGAGAGACCGTATGTTGGCCATTGAAGTTCCCATCGTGCACGAACGCCCAAAAGTATCCCCATGAGTTTGGATCGTTTAGGTAACCCCTCGGGAGGTTCTTTTTCGAGGGGCAAACAACACATGAATGAAAGAGTTCACCCGGACCTGGCGGCTCCCATGTCTCCATGGGCTGGTGTGCGAAGCCATGAGTGATCAAGCTTTGAATGATGTTCCATTCGCGAAGCACACGAAGTCCTTCGAGATAGCGATCCTTGTCACAATGAGTGATGCTCCTTGCAATGAAACGTTGACAGACTCACTGGTACAGTACTGGGGTGTAGCGGACAGGTATTCCGTCGTAGACGCCGCATCATGGCCTGCGGAGCAAGCTTGCACTCGAGACGATCGATTTGGAGATAGAACAAAGCCTCAAGAGTGAAGCATGTGCCGGGATTTGAAGGCGTAGCTGGCATGAGGCCACCCAGTTTGATCAACTGCTGGTCGTATGAAACGTTAACACCCTCCCTGCATTTGCATAACGCCACGCCCAGCTGATGTATGTCGGTTTTGTCAACAATGACCATAATCGGGAGCCCGCGCGGATCCTTCCTCAACCTCGCCTGCTTCCCGCGCGTCCTCGCAGTTCCCTCCTCCGAGCCAGGAACGTCTCGGTCGTCGATTGCAGCAGGCTCGATCGGCTCTCCATCTGCTTCACCCTCATCCAACTCTGCCCCTTGATTATCGCTTGGGAGCAGATCATCGTCTGGATCATCAGGCATAAAGGCGGAGCCGTCGGAGCCGCCGGAGCCGCCGGAGCCGCCCATCCAACTGTAGTCCTCATCACCCTGCTGCCCTGCGTCACTGGATCGCTTCTGAACAGGAGGTGGGTTTCCCGCAGCTTCGCGCGCCCCGCCATAGGAGGGTGGAGAGCGCGAGTCGAAGTCTTCAGGGAGAGCGAAATCGCCCGAGGTGTAGCCTGGACACATGCTCGTGCCTTTGGCCACTGGGCAGAGTTGGATAAAGACCCCGGTGTCTCGTAGCCACGCCTCGCCATACTGCACTCCACGAAGATAGCGAACGCGATGAAAGGGCATGGACATATGACGCTCGCGACAGCACTTGGTACACAGGTCGCGATCCCTCTGGCAACTGTCGCACCGCCACTTTGCATGGCCGGCCAAGCCACAGCCATCACATACAAGTGTTGTTGAAGGTGGTCCGTATCGTTCAATGACGCAATTGGCATAGACAGCCGGAGTGTGGCCATCAGCAAATGCTCGCAGCTGCTCCACATTTGTCTGTTAAAAGAAAGTAAGTACTTAGGTAGTACTGCACAGTTCCCACTCACATTACGAGATGCCGCATCCACACCATCCTCCACATCGTCTGCCTCAAGCACACGGGCTGGGAGGGGCAAGCCGTCGAACCCTGCCAAAGCATCCTCAGGTAAGCTGGTGGTGAAGTCGGTATGCTCGTTGATTGGCCCTGTGAAGCGCAGGTTCTGAGCTGTAGTTCCTCGAGAAGCCAATGTCGCCGCAAGAAGACCATCGCCAAGTGCTTCAGAAGGGAAGGTGACGTCGCTAGCATGAGAATTGGAACGAGAGATAGCAGCAGATGCAGTAGTAGATGTGCTACGGCTCTTGCCCTCGTCGACACCGGCAAGGGGATCTCCAGCCTGAAACTGAGTAATGAACGACCCCTTCTGGCGCTTCGGTGGCGGCCCCTTGTCATCTGCCATGTCAGGGACAGGTTGTATGCCACGCTTGGTGGACTTGTGTGACTGTTTGGCCTTAGGTCGATTGGCAGCCCGGGTATTGTTTGTTGTGGAGTAGTTATAATGAATTTCGTCATGGCCAGACATGATGAGGGCGTGAGCTAAGATCAGGGCCTTGTGCAAGACAGACATGAGGCATAGAAGGTGTGTTCACCTCGTGTTGTGGCGGCTCCGGGAACCGCGCGGCTCCGCGGACTCAAGTAGACAGGGTAGGCCAGACTACTATTAAATGGTCCAGTCGTTGTGTCATAGTGTGGTGTCATATCATCTGACATCTGATCCGAACAGATTGGCTGGGACCAGGAAATCTCGGAGGATCATCGGCTGATCACGCGCCTCAGTCCCAACATGCTGCATGAACGAGGCAAGTCGTTGCTTGACCAAAGTCACCCATCGCCCCCACCTAGTTTGTATCCAATGGCTTCAGCACAGTCGTCCAGCAATCGCGATCAGAGTGTCGTGGACGAACGCATCGATCCAGACCCGGATCGTCCTACAGATCAATCGGATTCCAACCAGGCCACCTACGGTGAAAAGGCCGCAGCTCGCATCAGTGGACGCTATCTCAAAGTTGCTCAAATTCGTGTTCTTGAGCCGATCGTTGAAGAGTATGTGAAGTCAGAGGGACAGGAGAAGACGAATTTGGTCGAGCAGGTATGTGTTATGTGTTCACATAGAGGTAGTTGGCTAACTCGGATAGGCCTTCCAAACTGTATGGGATGGTGAACCTGTGGACTGGAGTGCACCTGCTACCTGGCCGAAGAAACGCGACTCCCCTTTCCAGATGACACGCCAGGTGAGCTTTTTGCCTTGAAGTCTGGACTGGGAGCCGCGAGATTCGGGAGCCGCCCGAGGTCGGCGGCGGGCCCGCCGGCGGCTCCGCCATGAGCGGCTCCCGTGCTATTATTGTCATAGCCACAAGCTGACCATAGTATTAGGCCGTGCGCAACTTCTTCAAGGAGAGGGGGCGCATTCGTCAGGTTATCGTAAAGCTTCCGGGCAAAGGAAACGGCACACCGGACTGGAACGCCATGAGTGTGGTCAACGAAGTTTACAAGGATGCGATTTCGGACCTCGTAGAGGATGTCACTGGTATGAAGAAGGGCCAGAAGCCGGGCGAAAAGGAGAAGAACAAGGGCTGGATAGCAGAGTATCGGAAGGCGTGGAGGGCTTTCTATTTTAGCTTGAACAAGGAAGAGTTGGCGGATATGGAGCGCATTGCGAAACAGTGGAACCGGACGGGTATCCCGGTGGTTATAAAGAAAAGGTACATTGTCGGACGCGGTATTGGTTGCGATGTTTGATAGCTTATACTTGCGAAGCAAATTTACTCGGTCTTGTCGCGACTGGCTTCGCAAGATTGCCGCAACCTGTCTAAAGAAATATGGGATTTACATCTTCTTTTACATTGTGGGAGAACCTGGCTCCAATATCGAGCCTGAAATGTGAGCGGATATTGACTGCGTCATCAGTTTCATGCTAAGACCTCCCTACCAGACTCGATTTCAGCATGGAGCTTGGGCTTGGTGATCAGCGGTTCGAGGAAGACACCGAGAGCAACACGCTTGTGCGCCTGAGGAACTTCGTCATGAAGAATGCAGGTGAGTGTTCTTACTTAGGACATATCTGCCGTCGGCGGCTCCCTGTAGTCGCGGCTCCGACCTCATTCACGCGGCTCCGTGGCGGTTCTTTCATCTGTGCTGACACTCGCTTCTATCATAGGCAAGCAGGAGATCCCTGAGGAGCGTCCTAAGAAGGTCACAGCGAAGTTCAAGAAGGTTGATGCGTACCAGTTCAAACACGATCGCCTTGCTGGGCACGACGAACTCATCATCAACGACGAGGATTTTGACTTCTCAAAGTTGCAGAAAGACTCGAAGGCTGTGCTCTACCAGCTGTTTCGCTACGCGCATGGTTAGTTCTCTGGTTACCTGGAATTGACTGAGCTGATATGGTTGAAAGCAAACATATCCTCACGTCCGCCTGGAGAGCTCGATGTTCCCTGGCAGGCCATTGCTGATGGCCAGCTGATCGACAAGTCCGTCTACTTTCCCCCTGGATGGACGCATAACGACATTACAACCGCGCCGGCCGACTCTCGGATGGCATTCATTAATCACCTTCGTGGTATAGGCCATCTTAGGTTCGACTTTTGGCAGTATAAGAACGGCAAGCCCCAGCCTCCAGTAGATTTTGAACTGCGTTGGTGGAGTCAGGGCACGCAGGCGCCAGCAGCGGGTGCCGGCAGTGCCGACGCTGAGACAGCAAAGGAGAAGGCTCTCGCTGCTAAGCCAACGTACACGGCTTCAGGCGGAGCCGCCCAATTACAGTCGGGCGGGCCCGCGGGCCCGCAAGCAGCGGCGGCTCCGGACGGCTCCTTGCAGGGTAGCAAGATGAAAGGCACCAACCGGCCCAGTCCGTATGGAAGTCAGGGCGTAACAACGTACCACTCAAGCTTTTTGCTTAACGAAGATGCCCTGGTGGAGGAGTCGGTGGTCTCTGTTGCTCGCGACCCAGATGATCTACTTCCTCCTGGTGCTGATAAGCTTCATCCTGATGCCCCCTGTTCTATCCCTGCAAACTCTGAGGCGCGAGCCCAGTGGGCCATCGCAATGTTGGCGGATCTGGGTGATCAAATTCCTTCAGGGCAGCTCCGGGCGTGTATCACTGCATTGAGCGAGCTTCCTGTGAGTAACGAGATGCGTAGACTTATGAACCCTGTACTGACCAGCTATCAGTTACTTCATAACCACTTCTACCCAGCCAAGAACTTTCGAAAGCGCGACTCTCCCATCATTATTCCGACAACCCTCACGTGGGACTCCCGCTTCCTAGATCAGCTGGAGAACAGTGCTGCTATCGAAGACTACCAGCTGTTCTTGCAGTCGCGCCCGTGGTGTTACACCTATCTCGGCGAAGAGATATTCGCAGGGATTGAGATCTCCTGGCTCTTCGTGCTTGCAGCGATTATGTACGGCCGTGCACTGGCACTGGTGCCTGGCGAGACTCAGCTCTCTCGTCATACTCTGTCCAAGATCTTTGGCGACTTCAAGCGGTTCTTGCGATCTTACACTCAGGAGTACGATTATCCAGGACACGGTCCTTCCCTGAAGTACGCAGTCGCAAGCAGCCGGGAGGCGTACCTCTACACAGTATTCCAATACATCGATGTCTTCTTCACCCTGATGAGCTTTGTGCAACGTTTGGTGAGATACACGTCGTATTACCGGCATGATGGCGCACACTAACTTAATACATAGCCATCCTCTGACCTGCAAGCCTCCAGCAGCATCAATGCCGGTGCTGAATTCCCCTCCTGGCAATCACCACGCCTTGGTCTCCCGCCTGCTATGCATCAGAGCGTATCGACCGTTGACGAGTTAAACCAGTGGTTACGGGGACCCACTCGTTTGGCCGACAAGTCTACCGGTCACCTTGCAAGCAGAGAGCAGGGACTGTTACTCATGCTTCAGGCTGCGTGCTTGTACAGCGACCTACAAAGCATTGGTAATGGGGCGTCGGACGCTCAGGGACAACTGTCCGAGTCTTGCTTGCGAGATTGTCAGCTCGAAATGTCGCTATTGTTGGAGGAATGGGGCGACAGAGAGCTTCTCGAGCTTGAGAACGTTCTGGGGCCCGCCGAGGACGTTGACGACCACCTTGGAGCCGCCGGAACCGCCGGCGGCTCCGCGCGCGCCTTGTCAGTGGCTCCTGAGTGGGAGGACGACCCTGAGCCAAGACCAGCTCCATCAGCTCCGTCGAGGCAGCCACCGCGAGCGGAGCTCGACTCGAGATACTTGGCCGCTGTCAGACAACGCTCTCGCGATCCTGCCGAGGCCCATGACATTGCCGGGAGAGTCATCCGTGGTCCAACAAACGAACACGAGGAGCGCACCATGCTCGCACTGGAGGTTCTGACACGCCTGGAGGAGAGGGGCGCAATCAACGCCCTGCTTCTACAGGAGCGACGAGCCGAGAATGTGGCGCGTTACGGCCAGGCCAAGAAGCCGGCGCCCGCGAAGGCACCTACAATGTCGACCTTGCCTGAGCTACCGCCAATTTCCATGCCTGAGGACCCTGCCCCGACCGAGCAACCTGCAGCCCGTTCAAAGAAGAAACGTACTGGCCCTTCTTTAGTTCAAGACATGGCGAAGGTGCCCAGGGTGCGGGCGAAGGCTACGAAACCGACTGCGAAGCCCCCAGCTAAACCAGCCAAGGCCAAGGCGATAGCGAAGGCCAAACCGTCACGTTCTACTGCCAAGCGCCCCCTTCCATCGGATCGCAAGCGTCAGGAAGAACCAGACGATGACAGCCCTGAGAGCCTACCTGTAACCCCGGAGCTGTCAGATATCCCGGACTCGCCATCGGATGAGGAGCCGCCATCTGACGAGGAGCCGCCAAGCCCGGCGGCTCCCGCGCCAGTCGTGGACCCGCTGGAGCCGCCAACTCCTCCGACTATCTCGCCATCATCAAAGAGGCTTCGTCAGCGTGCAGCATCTACTGGCAGCCGAGCGTTGCGTCATCCTGAGTCTCCCACACGGCCCAGGAAGCGCTCGCGTAGGGGGCCCGACCCGGTCGATGAGCCTTCCGATCTTGCACCTCTTTCACCTACACGCATTGGCAAGCGGCCTCGGCGCGGTACCGTGGGTCGTGAGAGTCAAGCTCATAATGAGCCTACGTCACCTCGTGCTCAAGCGCCGCCATCTAAAAGGCAGAGGGTGGAGGTTCTGGTTAACCACGCACCTGTTGCCTGGGTTTCAGCTTCTGGTTCTTTGGCTGCACGTCCAATCGTGAAGCCTCGTCCAGTGCGAAAGTCAAACAGACAGAAGCCGACTTCTCTTCATCAGGCCAATGCCACACCTTCTGTTCCGCCTCCTCCCCCAATGAAAGTGCATCGTAGTGGCTTGCGTTACCGTCCTGGGCCTGCGCAATGAGAACAATCGACTATATTCTTTATTACATAGCTTCATAAGCCCCCTCATGACTTTACTACGTCTGCAACAGCCCGTCCCTGCGCCTCGTACACACGACCTAGCTCTAACAAATCCTCGGCCTGCTGTGTCTGTACTTTGAATAATCGCCGATCTATGGCTTGTATGCCCGCAACAAATGTTGCTGTATTTCCTCCTACAATTGGCTTTTGCTGCTTGGTGTGAGATTGGTTTCTGCATGATACGCATAGGGTAACCTACTGTGAAGCCAACTTCCCAGCCTGAGTTTGCGTTTACCTCAGAGCATGCATCCCATGCCTTCTCTGGTCCTCCCAATGTGCGACTGTGCGGAGTTAGAAGACAGTCGCGTTCATACTTCTGCCACCACAGTGGCAGATTGACATGGTCCTCCGGGAGCCGGGAGCCGCCGGGCCCGGTGAAGTCGAGAGCCGCCATCCTGAGAGCCGCCCAATCGCGTGGGGCTTCTCGATCGATAACGTCCTGCAGGAGCCGCGCAAAGGGAGTGGCTGGCGGGATCTCTCCATAGCGCAGGCGTGCTTCTCCAATAACAGCCCTTAATAGCCTCTGCATATTGTCAGTTGCCGGTAATGGGTTAATCTCAATATGACTGACTAATTCAGATCGTAAGGCTGCCAAGATATATGGGTGCTCAATCAAAGGATCGAAGTGAATCAGAGCTACAGCCAAGCGAGCTAGCATGGACTCCCAGAACTTCTGACACATGTATTCTGGCATAACTGACAGAGATGTGGTTTGAGTCTGAGGAGTGACTCTGTAATCTCAAATCGCCAAGACCAGCCACGTGTGATGTCGGACTAATCTCGCATCGATCCTTATCTGATGACACACAGCTTGCCTTTGCCCCTCGTGCAATCGAGCAATCTACGCATTTACGATGTCCAGCTGGCGGCCTCCTACGAGTCAGTGGCAACAGGCTGAGTGGAAGTTCATCGCCACTCGTATCAATGCGATTGTACTGGAGCTTAAGCCTCAAATCGAATACTCCATCTTTGACGATGTGCAGCTGGGCGAGCTGCACAGTCAACAAAGTCGCGGTATGCTTACAGAACAGGTTCGTCCTTCAGATTCCTCACAGGATGATGCTTCTCTAACAAGACAAAAGGCTTTAATGTGCCAACTCAGTGGTGTGATGGCTATTGAAGGGGTAGCGCCATCGGATGCAACGAGAGCTATTTATCAAACATTTCTTGATCCGAGCGATCGAGGACTACGCCTGATCCGCGAGATTGCGTTCGATCGGCGCCCTCCATATCTTGATCGCGATGGCACCGTATTATCCATGTCGTCCAGTCTGTGGCGCATATGCTGCTTCTTTCGCATGCACCTGGCTATGGCTGTGGCCTCGAACCCTGACGATGTGTTTGAGTGGTGGCAAAATCCGGCCGAAGGTGCTGTCCGGCATAGCCCTGCACTAGATGCGCTATTTGCCTCACAGATGTACACCCGATTAATGGTGAGTGATCATCAGCATGCCAGCATGCTGAGCTTTAAACGTCTCACAGATATGGGAGGACATGAGCATGTCACATTCGCCAGCCTTAGTTGATGAGCTTCAAGCTCTTATTGCCGGGATCAATGGCTTAGACGAGAGTGGCCAGGAGTACCTAGCGGTTCTCAAAGCAGAAGTAAGCCAGCGCGAGATACGTCTGGTGGAGAAATATCTCCAGGCCCATCCAGACGTGCAACTACCATCCTCGGTGCATGCCGAGTTGCACAGGCTTCAGGACGAAAAGCCAGTCCGTGGAGGTGAAGGGAGCCGCGGGGGCCGCGGGAGCCGCCGAGGTGGCGATGTCGAACTCCCGGAGCCGTCAAGGGCATCTTCTTCGCGGAGCCGCGCAGACTCCCATCGTCAGGAGGTTGATATAGTTCGCCGACCAGGAATTCTACCCCTATTTTAACATAGAGCATTGGAATCTATTGTTGTAGGCACAAGGTATGCGAGGCAGTATGTATCAATTGCGAGCCCAGTCAAGTAGCGACTTTATGTACTCCAGCCAGTAAAGATGGTCATCAGAGCTGACAATGGTGGGGGGTTCAGGAATATGGAATCGTAGTTTCCTCAGAACAGTCGGACGCGCATAGGCCGCAAAACATACACGCTCGTGGAATGCTGGACTGACACCATGAAGCTGTGTATGCCCGCAGAACAAAACTATAGTACCTGACCGATATCTAAACCGAGCACCCACTCCAGGAAGCTCTAGAACGGTATCCTCATCTCCACCGACGGTCAACAGGGCGTCAATCCATACAGGTCCACCGCTTTGCTTGTCGCGATGCAGGATAGACTCGCGATTGGCGACAATGGTCAAGACATTAAACGCAAAAGACCACTCGCGAACTCGCTCACAAAAGCGCTCAAGACCTGATAGCTTTTCAAGACTGGCACGGGTAAGAGCATATTGCTCGGGATGTGTAAGAGCCAGAGCCACAGACATGAGGCAACCGGTTTCCAGGTGCTCGCGCATAAACTGCTGAAAGGCGAGGTGTCCTGGCGTGGCTGGCTTATTTGGTGCAGGCCCGAGTTGGCCGGAGACGTGAAGGGGGTGATCGAAAGTCTGGTTCAACCATAAGTTAGATCTCTGAACGAGCAGTGAGAATGAGTGCGCACAAAATGCCCTTGAGCATGCCATCCTGGTGACGCCGTCACATTGCCACGTCCGAAGACGGTGGCCCTATGAGCAGGCAGAAAGTGCTTCAGGGCATTCCTCCAAGCACTTTCGCCAGTGCGGGAGCCGCCGGAGCCGCGGGAGCCGCGGGATCCGCTGGAGCCGCGCAAGTTCTCGTCGAGAGTCGGACCTAGAGTTTGCATCTGGCTGCTGATGATCTCCTGATACGGGTCACAAACGGTTAACAAGGGGCGCATCGCTAAATTGGTTACAGTGGACACACCCTGCGATGCTGAACTATGGCATCCGGAAGATATACAGCTATGATTTGTCCTGCAACATCCTCCAAGACAGCTGGATCTTCAAGACTGATTCTGTCCGTGGGAAACTGTCGCTGGAGGCGCTCCTCGGCCTCTGGCTTGTCGCCTCGCTGCCCACCGACAGCCGCATTGTATGTACGAACATCCCAATTCACCATGTCTACATATGCATAAGATCAACATAGCATGCATTGAACAACCATACACGTATTTTCCTTCGCCCTCATCACTACCTGGATCATATGATCGACCTCCAAAACGAGCTTATCGGCGAAGCCTGGCTTTGCAACGACCTCGCCAGCAGCAGTACGCAAAGCATAGTCAATGACAAGGTCTAGGTAGTCAGGATAAGCCAGATGCATGGTGGTCAACAGCAAGCCTCCTTCTTGCCCATGCGGTGCAAATGCGTCAATCAGATTCCAGGCTTCCATCTGATAATGTGACGAGCCCTGAACACGAGGCTTGGGCTTGTCATGACATCACAGTCAGGTTGTGCAACAGGAGCAAGGATTGGGACCGCCGGAGCCGCCGGAGCCGCCGGAGCCGCGACACTCCATGGCGGCTCCGAGCTCTCCAGAGCACCGCCGGGAGCCGCTGCCACAGCAATGTTTGCGTTTAGTGTGGTTCCTCAAGCCCTACATGACTCCTAGGGCTCATGGAATGCCAACCATGCCGACAATGTCCACTCACTCTCCCACCCAAGCAAGTAGAACACGTATATACTCGAGTGGCATGTTTCCTGCATCATTAGAGCTATTTTGTAGTGGTGATACGAATTTGCTTGTAGGCATGGCAGCTGCTCGTAGAGACTTAAGTGTCAACTACATTGAACTCTGTTGAGCTTTTGTTCCTATGACTGCCATTTACGTAAACTGTCAGACGCAACACTGCATACGACGTTGCCTCAGCCCGTGTAGCCTCAGACTGGGCCGACATGGCGTGACCCGGCCCAGTATCTGTACCTTCGGACGTCCTACCGTACCCGCAGCCGCCCCAGTACCCATACTTTTGGACCGGCCAGCCTACTGTACCCATACTTTCGGAACCGCCCCCATACCCGGAGCCGCCCCAGTACGTATAC